AAAAAACTTTTCACCATTTTTTTCACCAGGAACTATATTTTATCTACTGCATCAAATTACATTTTTTAATTCTTTTAAATTTTTAAATCCTTTATAAATTTTTTATGTTCTCTTGAAGTAGGTCATTTAATAAAAGTTTTTTTGTACTATAATTGCTTAAATAATTCGTTTGATATAAAAAATTACTATTCTTTCTTCTTTTCCAAAGTATAAACAAACTCCAAATAAACTTTTAGTATATTCAAATTTATAAAGAATACAGTTAATTAAAGCTCAATACAAATTTGAAACTTTATTTTTATGATAAAAATATGGAATAAGAACATATTAAATTAGTTAATTGTTGAAAATTATAGAAAAACTTTCTCAAAAGTTTTTTAAATTAATTAGAGTCATATAAAGAAAAAACTTCTTATCACTAATATTTAGATTTTGTTATATAATATATATATGACTTTAAATATCATATGTTTAATTTTTATATTAAACTATTTATAAAATTAAGTTATCTTCTTTCTCACTTAAATTTCTCCTCCTCTTCATTATCTAAAAGAATTTGTAACTATAGTACATTATAATATAATTGTCGTTTCATATTGTAAAATGAAGCTAATCATATTTAATACCATCAGATTTGATCAATTAAATATATACTCAGTTACAATTAAATTTGTTAACTGTATATTATCACATGTCACATAAAGTTATATTTAATTCTGGCAAAAACATAAGAATTATTGTATTAGAACTTTGTGTAATATGGAATTTCCTTTTTTGGTAATATCCGTTCCACAAAAATATTTTTTTCAAAAAAGAAAATTTTAATAATTCCAGCCAGAATTATAAAATCACAATTTTTACTATAATCAACTGACTGTATTGTGTCGATTTTATAATTATTCTTTTTTAAAAAATCTCGATTAGTTAATATAAATTAAATATAAACATGACATGTACTGTTGATAAAGCATATCAATAGTATCTCCAAAAATATCATCCCTAAATTCTTTAATATTGATGCGGGTTCTACTAGAAGGTAAACAAAGTTCCATAAAACTAAAGTTAATTCAAATGACTTTAGATCGCATCGTCTCAATTTAAACCATCTTAAGCTAATTCTTAGAAAAAAATTAAGTTTCTTAAGGATATAAAATCAGAAGACATTGAATTTTCGCTGATAATGTATGAATTCAATCTCTTTTGTCAGATGTTGCACTTGCAACTTTAAATACAACAGCTTTTTTACCGCTTATCGTTCGATATCCATTTTCTACATCAAGCAGTAAGTATAAAACTTTTTTCATACATTTATTTCTCTTATAATGTCTAGTATTCATTTTTTATTCTCCGCAGTCGTAGTGACTTGTAAATCTGGGAACAGTAAAGTGGCAGAAGCACGATACCTTTATTTTGAAATTTCAGAAAACAGCAACATCGAAAACCTCGAAAATGAGTTTCATTTCAACACCCTCGTAGATGAGACTAAAGTAAGCAATAAATTATGCGTTCTTCCTGACCTTAAAGTCAAGATCAAAGGTATGATTATTTTCTCTATCTCGATTTAACATGAAAAATGACATAGATATTCTGATTCAACTTATGATAGGTAAAAAACCTTACGATAATAAGGGAAGATGGGATCATATTTACCATAACCACTCCATGGGACGCCATTTGTTATTTATACACGATCAATTTTTGGCAAAAAAAAGAAGGATCCCAAAAAAAAAGACGACATAATTCTCGTATATGGATCAGGTGGCTTTTCGACTTCAGCATCTAATAGTAAATGGGAAATCACTAATGTGAGAAATGTTTTCATCAGAAATTTAGTGAGCTTGCACATTTGATTTGAATAAACTCCCAAATCACAATCCAATTTCCGAAGAAGAGTTGAAATTCTTTACTGATAATATCAAATACACGTTGGAAGCATTCAATAAATATACCAATGATAATGAACAAACTTTTCGGGAATATATATCAATTTTATGAAGGCCACAGTTGTACACATTAGAAGATTTACCGTTTGAATTTAATCTTAATGGAACTTGGTAAAATTCGGGCGATGTTGCAATGCTGATTAACGAAGCCAAATTGGATGATATTCCTAAGAGATTAGCCCAAAACATCATGCAATTGCATAGTGCGTCAGAGGTAATGTCAAATTTTTGTATTTATTGTGTTTAGGGTGGACCTAACATTCATTTTCAGAAATTATTAGGCAAGCGTAAGTTTGGCCAAACAGAATTTGAATCTGAACCACTATTATTTGGAATTGTATCAACCAGAAATATATGGCGTTGGATTGGTTCTCCAGAAAAACCTAATGTTGATATTTCTCGCCGATTTATTTGCAATTTTGAAGGGGATATGCAGAATGAAAAATTGTAGTTTCTCTTAATATTCGTATGTTAGAGGAACAAAACGATGCA